TGAATAAAAATGAATCCTCAGAAATAGATGTCAGATGGGATTATTTCTGAATCTGGGGATTCAGATAGTATGGAAGTAGAAAAGGGTCTGGAAGTTGCCCGAGCATCTACTTCCGCGCAAAAGTAAAAAGGAACACAGGAAAAACAAACACCAATCATAATGGCCACCCTCGTCTCATGGAAGGCCCACCAGCGGCGGAGCGGTAAAGTCGCTGAACACTGGTAGTTCGGCCCGAGGTTCGAATCCCGCGAACGGGCTGGCTGCATGGGCGTTTTCGTGGTTTTCCCCATGTGTAACGTGTATACGAGCCAGTTTCCCTTAGAAAGTCCTCCACGATAGGCATCCCTCCCCTTAGGCAGATAGCCCTAGTGTGCTTTGCCATAATTAAATACACACGTCTCATGGAACTGTCGCGGTTTCCACCGAAACTTGCTTGACATCAAAGCTGTAGTAAATGCTTATCATCCTGTGTGCTTCGCAATACAAGAGACAAATCTGAAACCAGATCAACATGCAAAACTTCGGAGGTTTTCTCTCGTCAGGAAGGATAACCTTACAGGTGAGCGTGCCAGCGGAGGTGTAGGTCTCCTCACCTCACTGGACTATCCCTCAAATGTACTTCCTTTGACGACATCCCTCCAAGTTGTCGTTACTCAAATAAATTTTGATATTGTTGTTTCATTTGTTTCTTTGTATTTGCCTCCAAATGATCACATTTATCAGCAAGATTTAAATAATCTAATAGAGCAGCTGCCTGAGCCTTTTATCATAATAGGAGATTTTAACGGCCATAGTCCAGTCTGGGGTAGTAAAGATACAAATTGCCGAGGAAGACAAATTGAGCAGATGATCGAAGATCATAGACTTTGTCTCCTAAATAATGGGCAAGATACGTACTTCCATGAGCCTTCAAGGACATTCCACGCTCTCGATCTTGCCATCTGTTCACCATCTCTGTTGCCATTTTGCACTTTTAGTGTCGGAAATGACCTGTACAACAGCGATCATTATCCTATTTTTTGTGTCTCTTGCACGAAGAGGAGCAAAAAAACCCGTGTCGAGAGTCCCTCGTTTTATCCTGGACAGGGCACACTGGGAACTCTTCTCTTCCGTTGCAGAGCTGACGGAGGAAATGGTAGAAGGGTGTGCATATCGATGACGCTGTTGAAGCTGTTACTAATACTATTATTCAGCCAGCTATGCTTTCGATTCCTAGAAAACATCAGGAAAAAAAAAAAAACAATAAAATATTCGAAAACCGTGGTGGAATCGCGACTGTCATGAAGCACTGAAAAGAAACAGAAAAAAGCATGGGGTATTTTTCATAGATATCCTACTCTGCGAAAACTCATAGCTTTTAAAAAGAGCCAAAGCAAATGCACGGAAAGTAAGTAAGAAGGCAGAGCCAGAGGGATTCCTGGATTTCATATGTGTCCTCAATAACATCCTCTATGCCTAGTAAGCGGGTTTGGGAAAGAGTTCGAAAAGCATGCGGAATGTATAAAGACCACTCACTTTCCTTTCTGGAAAAAGATGGCCGAGTGATTAGCTCCATAGAAGAAATTGCAAATACAATTGGTGAGACATTTGCTGCCGTTTCTTCCAGTCGAAATTACTCACCTGCATTTCTTTCTATCAAGCAACGCTCTGAGAAAAATCCCATCGCTTTCAACTCTTCCAACTTTGAGCCGTACAATAGAGACTTTACTATGGTTGAATTAAAGAGAGCTTTGTTGCAGACATATAGGTCCTTGTCCGGGTCTGGATGGCGTGTATTATGAAATGCTAAAGCATCTGTCCTGTAAGTCACTGAGTGCCCTTCTCACACTTTACAATAGAGTGTGGAAGGAGCGTACATTTCCCAGTGCATGGAGGAGAGCTGTTGTCATTCCTATTGCGAAGCCAGGGAAAGACCCGAGGAATCCCTCGAACTATCGGCTAATTGCCCTTACCAGCTGTGTTTGCAAACTGTTTGAAAAGATGGTAAACAGCCGCCTAGTCTACTTCTTGGAAAAGAATAATATTATATCGCCTTATCAAAGTGGTTTTCGAAAGGGGAGAACATCGTGGATAACATGCTCCTCCTAGAGACTTCCATTCGGAAAGCATTTGTAAGAAGAAGCCACCTTATCTCGGTATTCTTCGACATTGAGAAAGCTTATAATAAGGCATGGAGATACGGTATACTTCGGGATCTTCACGAGAGTGGCTTGCGCGGCAACCTACCAATTTTCATTCAGAATTTCTTGAAGAGTAGAACTTTTCAAGTAAGGATTGGCTCTGTTTTTTCGGATGTTTTTCAACAGGAAGAGGGTGTGCCCCAAGGCTGTGTGCTTAGTGTAACGCTGTTCAGTTTCCTAAAAATAAATTCTGTTTTTAAAAGAACTTCCTCCTACCATCTTGGGATCACTATATGTAGATGATTTACAGATTAGCTGTCGAGGGAGCAGACATGAGATACATAGAGAGGCTAATTGCAAGATGGCTCTGAAGAAGATCCAAGAATGGTCAAACAAACAGGGATTTACTTTTTCGAAAACAGAAAACTGTGTGCGTGCACTTTTGTAGGAAGCGAGGGTCTCCATCCTGAACCTGAGTTATGTTCTGAATGGTACAATTATTTCAGTTGCGCCCGAAGTAAAATTTTTAGGAGTGACGTTCGACCAGAAAAATTGACTTTCCTTTCTCATGTTTTAAACCTGAGAAAGAAAGTGTCTAAAAACACTAAATATTTTTAAAAGTGTTGGCGAACACCTCCTGGGGTACAGAGCGTTGCTCCATGCTTCGCATTTACAGAGCGCTTATCCGCTCTAGACTGGACTATGGCTCAGTTGTTTATGGATCCGCTCGCTCATCGTTTTTTTAAAAACTGGATCCTGTTCACCATCAAGGTTTGCGGATTTTTGTTCAGGAGCTTTCAGGACTTCTCCTGTACAGAGCCTATATGTTGACTCTAACGAACCATCACTTTATCTGAGGCGTGAGCAATTGTCCCCTTTTACAATATTTTAATATTTTATCCCAATCTGAACATCCCAATAAGCTGTGGCTTACTTGATAATGAGTGTAACTCACTATTTGAAACACGTCCATCCTCTGTTCCTACTTTTCCTTTAAGAGTTCGCCCTGTCATTGAGAAACTTTCCCTCTCTGATATGCACCCCCAAGCAGTACAGGATTTTGAAATTCCACCTTGGGAAACTTTCACGGATTCAGCTCCTTGATGTTTTCAAACATCACGTGAAAGGCGAGCACTAAAACGAGATCGTTTACAGACAACTCTTCGCTGAGCACAGGCAACAGATATAGCAGTTATTATCCGGTATACACAGACGGATCAAAGTCAAATGATCATGTCGGGATGGCTTTTGTATTTGAAGATTACATTGAGGGCAGATGCCTACACCATGCTTGCTCAGTCCTAACATCTGAACTAACTGCAATTATTATGCTCTTTTGTACATCTCGAAGCTCTGCCACAAGAAGTTCATAGTTTATACAGACTCGTATTGTGCTCTTAAATCTTTGGAAGCTTTTCCCAACACTCAGAATCCTGTGGTAGTGGATGTCCTGAAAATTCATATAAATTTAACGATTCGCGGATATGAAGTCCTGTACTGCTGTGTTCCTGGACATGCTGGAATAAAGGGAAATGAGCTTGCAGATATTGCAGCCAAATCTGCTGATGAACTGACTAGTCGCCTTATCCCTTTTAGAGATATCTGCTGTGTCATCGAGGGAAAAGTCCGGAAAAGATGGCAGCAAATTTGGGATGTTGAGCTTCAAAACAAGTTAAGACATGTAAAACTTAGAATTGAGCATTGGGAATCAACCAAAAATCGTATGGAGGAAGTTCTTTTGACTCGCCTCAGAATTGGTCACACTAGAGTCACACATAACTATCTTCTCAAAGCTGAAAATGAGCCTGTGTGTTTTAATTGTAATGTTTGTTTATCTGTTCGTCATATTTTAATTGAGTGTCCATATTTTAATAAGCTTCGTCAGAAGTATTTTAATAGCTGTGACTTACCTCTCGACCGTTTAATCGGAAGAGAGGTCAATTGTAATTTATTTTATTTTTTGAAAGAAACTGGCTTTTATCACCTAATGTAATTTGTTTTAAAGATTGTATCTTGAATTTTAAATGTGTGGTTTTAACTTGTTCTTATATGACTTCATCCTCTGGATTTGATACATTTGTCTACTTGTTTTTATTTATTTTATTTTAATTTCATCAATTGTACTCACCCCATCACGTGTTTGGCGCACTATAATCATCTTTGGTTTTGCACCATAATCTCTCACTCACTCACTCACTCATTTGTTGAATAATTTTGGATTAAATAGATGTTTTGCAAAATTAAAATGAAAATTCCAAGCATACAGCAATTTTACAATTATTAGTTTTATAGCGAAGGTAGAAAATTGTATCATCAAAGAAAATCATTTTTGTAATTTTTATTTAATTTTTTTTTTAATTTTCCTAATTTTATAATTTGAAATAATTTTTGTCCCAATGGCTACAATATTTGTTTCATATAATAATATTTATTTGATTCAGTAATTTATTAACAAAATTTCTTCCCAGGTTTTAATAATACGAGCCTATAGGTTTGATTTTCAAGTTAACTATTTAATCTTATATGAATAAATGTAAGAAGTATTGAATAATTTTCGAAAAAAGAATGAAATCAGCTATTTTAATTATTTATGTGAAATTCTTTAAAAGACCTTTGAAGTGTAATTTTGTATTTGATATTTTAAGTGATATGCTTTTGGCTCTTGGTTGCAAACATTGCTCATGGTTTTCATAATGGTCATTCCAAATAATTGTCTAAAAATTTCCTTGGTATTTGTGAAGATGCTTAAAATTATTTTGCATACCTATATTCTGAAACTTGAGAAATGTCAATAAATATCATCGTTTTACTTAAAATGTGTCATTCTTTATTTTAATATTTAAATATGCTTGATAAAAAAAAATACAAAATACCGTTATTTATGTAATTAATTGCAGATTTGTTAGAAATTTAACACCACAGCCGTAGTTACTTTTGTTTTCTATTAATTCTGATGTTAGTTATAAATTAATACTGGATATTATATCAAATGAAAAACAGTTATGTGGATTTACAGAAAGGAAGGTTAAGGGGGGGGGAATAAAGCATATAAAAATATAAAATTTATTCACTTTTTTTTAAATTCATCTTGCAGTTGAACTTTAGGATGTTCCATGCGAAACAATTAAAGATAAGAACATAAAAGGTCAACTTCACAATTTATCTAAAACAAGTTTCTGAATCCTGTTAAGTATTAAGAAATTTATTTCATTTAAATTTTGTCTTCGTATGGCTCGCTGTTTAAATTGAAAGTGAAAATTGGATAGGATTCCTATAATTCGCCCAAAATTCCAACTAACAGAATTTTACTCATAAAACTCAGATATGTATGAAAATAAAACATTTTGAGTTATTTTGAAGTAAAAAATTTACTATCTCCTCGGATGGCGCTATTTAGATTCCACCCTGCGCTGGTGTTTCACTGCATAGCCGTGGCTCTTCGGTATAGCGGCGCAGAGGCGAAACAGGTTTACATTGCGTCTATGGAAGCTTTCATTCTTCTCCTTGGAGATTCTTTGCTCTGATTGTCATACCGAAGAGGCCAAGTTTGAATCCCAGAGGAGGCAGGGATCTAATTTGTCCGTCCCCTCATTGGAAGCAACGGTGGCCTACGTATTAGGTGTCACAAAGGTTGTATTACTCATTCAAAAGATTTCGGAAGAACAACTCTTTACATCATCTTGTCCTCCATCTTGTACCTGGCCATTTTGGGCGCTGAACTTACATGGCTGTCATGCTGTGATGTATCGCCACGATTTTCTTACGAAAAATGCCTCTACCAACTACTAATTGCTTATCTTTCTTCAGCGATCCTTATTATCTTCAGCTGAACATGCAGAAGTGCAAAGGGACACCCAATGTCTCCTATAAATAAATAGGTATAGTTCAAGTGCGCATCCATTATTTATTAAAATTTATGACATATGAGTTACATAATATACAATTAAGAATTAAGAGATTACAAGAAATGTTCACAGTCACATTTAAATAACTTTGGATACATATCCAGTAGATTTACTATAATTATAATATTTGACACTAATGTTATTTACACTAAAAGTTTGTGAAAAATTATTTAGCATATAATAATGAATAATATAATAAACTGGTCATAATTAATAATAAATCAAATAGTGCTTAACAGAATGCCACCAGGCAGAATTTGACATTATAACAGCAATACGCAATTAGCACGCAATACAGTCACATTAAAGACCATCTACTCAGCTGGTGAGACAGGAACAGGAAGTCCTCAGTGGCACAAAGATAGTAATCACCTAGACCAGAAATCTCAACCACAAATAACTTGCATTGTGTTCCGACCCATAATTGAATCTTTGTAGTGAGATAGATGACCAGATAGCTAAATTAGCGGCAACAGACATTAATATTACCACCCTCAGTATAAAACTCCTAGCTCCTCGTTTAAAATCTTCCACGTGTCAATTTCTTTATAATAAACGGCAACGAGATTGGAACAATGAAGTTGCAGGACAGAAGAATGAAGGACAAAAGAGTGTTAGATTTCATTCGAAAAGTTGGTACAGTTCTCAAAAGTGGCATTCCAGAACCCACACAATTCTTCACTGGTCATGAACCATTTATGAGTTACCTTAATCACTTTGGTTTTATGGAAAGTGATCTTTGCATTATGTGGTGAGTTTGGCGAGGACGACTGCTATGTATTTGATTGTCCATTTTACTTCCAGCTACTACCTCAGAAAGCAAACAGGTGAGAGTTATCATGCATGGGCAGCTAACACCTGTAAAACAGACGTGCGACTTGTACTTCCCATGCAATCACTATTAAAAGTAGAATAGTTAGTATCGCCAGCCATAATATAATATTTTGTAACTAAGAAGGCATCATTTTAAGCTGTATCTACCATTGTATATATTTATGTAAATTCGTGTAAAGTTTAAATATTTATACTGATTTCATCTATACACCTGTACTTGTATTTACACTCTGGTCTTGTTATATTTGTATGCCCAACTCATACTATGATAATGTAATAGCAGTGTCTTCACCTTGTACTTTCCCTCCTTGTTCCAGTCCTGCTTTTGATTTTCATTATTTTACATAATCAAGTCCCTTAGGGCATTCCACTAAGCTCTATTTTTTTTCTATCAACGGAAACTAACAGGCTGATGAGCAACTAACCCTGTCGCAACTAACCCTAAGCTGTTCAGTCGGTAGCGAAGAGAAAGAATGAAAATACTTAACAGAAAAGAGTTTTCATTTTATTGGATTTAATTTCAGACTCGAACCCATGTATTTCTTCCTCTAACATTTACACATGTGGGGATGGGTAGACACAGACCACTATGTCTTCCAGTGCCCAATGACAAAGAAATTTCATGTGAAACATCCTCAAAATACTGATTGGATAATTGAAAGAATTGTCACTAAAACTCCAGCCTTAATCAACAATATCAACAATATCAATGAATAAACTAGCAAGTAAAGGCTAGGACTTATGCCTAATATAAAAGTACATGATACTTCTACTACTAAAAGCATCGCTGACCTGCGACAATAGTTCTTAACTGAAATATGGTTTTAGCGCTTGCATTTATTGCTATATTATGGTTTTAGCGCTTGCATTTATTACTATATTATGGTTTTAGCGCTTGCATTTATTACTTGTTTTATTTATTATTAATTACGTTATGATCGTATTACTTATTCAAAAATATTTGTATTGGGGACTATAATTAGGGCTGCATTAAAGATTTTATTGTTTTAGGACTAAGCTTTATGTATTACTGCAAAAGTAAGAACGATTTAACTTGATCAATAGGCCAAATAACATTGTGGTAAGGCAAATAATATTGTATCAAGCGTCTGGTCTAGTATTCATGATGCTCACAACAGCCATTGAGTACTCAAGATGATTCGTGAACAGAAACGTTACCTAGTGGGCAAATTGGACACCCACTGGTGCCTCCTATAACTTCTACCTACACATTTACCTCTTGAACTAAAAATCCTCACTAATGATGCAATGAGTGCAAATGAGACTAATTTTGGCAACCTTTCTTGAGGACTTTCATCACGCCAGAAACTTTTTTTTTTTTTTTTTCTCCTTTTGTAATATAAGGTCTGTTTTATTTCTTGTCCAAACTAAGTTTCAAAAATTGAATAAATTGCGTAGTTCGAATTAGCACCGATTTATCGCATTTAATCTTTCTGCATTCTGATATACGAACTTAGATTTCTACAGAGAATTTTCAATATCTTTTCATTCGTTCTTTTATTCTAGCGTTAAATTTCTTTTTTCTGTTTGACAACACAACCATTCGTTAAACTTTTATGCACAGAAAAGTATCCGGCTTAAACAAAGAGCCTCGTAAAAGTCGATATCTACTCATGATACTAGGAAGTAATTATTGCTTGAAAACTTGCATCGGCTGAAAAACTTTCTTAGTTTAACTCCGTCACAAGCCGTTTCCACCCCATGACCTTTTACAGACGACGTCATTTTGCGGTAACAGCTGCTGTTTGCAAGCATTAATGCAAATCTTTTATGGCGATTGGGTGGAGAAAGGAACATAACTAACAGTTATAAAGATTTCGATGGAAGATCATTACGAATGATATGGATTTCTTTTTTTATTTTGCTCATACTAATTTACTCTGAAATATGAATGTTTAAAAGGACACATGTAAATGGCCAGCTGGAAAGAAAGAAATGATATTAGCACTTTCTCAGGTGAAGTGTTTTCTAGGGACTTTTAATTTATCTGATGATAAATGGCAGCATTAAGTCATGTACCTTTTTATATATATTTAAAATATTTTCGATGTTCTCTTATTTCAGGCTGTTTTCAACATTTAATGCGGGGGAAAAATGTTTGAAACTCTGAATTTTTTCTTGGAAATGGTAGCCATTGCATCAGAAAGCCTCATTTGAATATTATAAATAATGCAAAAACGCAATTTGATTTTCCCGTAATTAAACTTCAGAATACTCTTCAGAATTGTCAGAAAGTGGTATTCGATCTCTCCTTCTCTTGACTTTACCAGTGGCTGAATAATTATATTAAAATTAAGACTTTAATTCGTTCTGAGTTCGGACCCAGGCGAGGGGGCTCATTGCATTGTTGGTTTTCGTGGTTTTCCTAGGGTGTAAGCGGACACAGTTTCACAACAAAAGTTTCGTTTAATTTGATTTATTTAGTTATGCTAAATCTCTCGAGGGCTATTTGCTTAAGGGGCGGGATGCCTTCGTGGAAGACTTTCTAAGGGAACTGACTTGTATACACGTTACACATGGAGAAAATCAAGAAAACGCCCATGCTGCTAGCTCTTGTTTTCAACCGAACCCAGGTCGAACTCTCAGTGTTACGCATTTTACCGCTCGCTTTCTGGCGGGTAGTTCCCAAGTAAATCTTCTACGAAGGCATAACTCTTCTTAGGTAGATAGCTCTCGTGCGGTTTGGCATATTACCACTCCAGGTGACATGAATCCTTTTGATAGAGATGTCATCAATCTATATTACATAAGTTTTTTTAATTATTTATTTATTCATTCTGAAATTATGGCAATATGCTCTTTAACAAAGCAAGAGACTGACGGAGTTAAATGGAATGAATGTAATCCTTAAAAAAATATATATTTTAAGTTTTCAGCATTGTTTATTGACATTTATGCTGTCAGTATGTTCTATTAAAACTGTATTTTGCACCTCCGCTATAAAACTTTACGGGGTTGATAGACTAGAAAAATATTAATTTTGCTGTGACTTCTTACTTTCAGTTATCAATACGTATTACGTTTAGAACATTATTATACTGCTCTGAGTGCATTCTGCTGGCTTATTCATAGCACTCACTGACTGCATTCCAATAAGAAAAAAAAAATTTTTTTCCTAAAAGATAAGATTTTAATTTTTATACTTTTCTATCGCAAACATATTAGTCGTTTATGTTTACATAAACGACTAAATGGTAGATGAATAAACAAATTCATTAAATGCTGAAGCTTCTCAAATTTAGTTATTTTATTTCTTTTCGTTGCCCATTTAAGTTAATTAGTGGTATGCGGATTTTTAAATACGCTGTTCGCTGTGCTGGATTTGGGCAAGAAAACCAAATATTAGTTTCCTTAGTTTTATGGCTAATAGTGAGATTTCTTTAGTGTAAATAGAAGCCTGGAAATTACTGTTTAGACTTTTATTATATACATATATATGATGTATGTATATGATTTTTTATTATATACATATATATGTATGTATGTATGTATGTATGTATGTCATAAATGCAAGGAAAGACCGAGCAGTATTGATGCGTAATAGCTATTAGATCCATATTGAAGAGGAAGAGTTCTGATTGCGTCGTATGCTAATATGTTGGCTTGGTAATATCTAAAACTTGGCAGTCAAGGCCACTTGGCACTCGCTAGTCGTACCTTTTTACAGAACATTTACATTTTTGATATTATTGCAACAGCAAGCAAGACAGCGAAATTACATCCTAGCAGGACAGAGAGCGAAGCTGAAGTGCGTAGTTGTCCAATATGTAAGCACACGAAGAGAAAAGTTTTGGTTTGAGTTTTAAAAGTTTCAGTTTCCAATTGTTATGTCATCAGCGCTGCGCAGGCCATGCAAAAAGGAATGATCTAGAAATGACGCAATTCAGAGAAGTTATTACGATTTTTAGAACAGAGAGGGAGAATTAAAGTTCTACCGCTAGTTTGAATTATAATTTTGATTCAGATATTTTTTATCTTACAAAAAATACGATGGCTTTGCTGTACGCGAACAGGCAACTTCTAACTAACTTTCCGCAATTTCAGGATCTTCCCCCTAGACCAGTACTTTCGAGAACATTCTAGCATATGTTATGCAACCGCTACTATAAATGTAGAGTTCGCGCCACTTTTCGTCAGACTGCTCTGCTATGTTCTGTTCTTGCGCTGCTCTGTTCCTTCTTCTTTCCTTTGTTAGAATAGTTATCACGTCGAAAGCTTAAATTTAACCGTATTTTAATTTAAATCATTATTGGATATGTAATTCTGGAGAATCTAAAAGAATAGTGGTCTGCCATTTGCATTGAATAAAGATGTGGAATCAAAACAGCTACTTTCTTCTGCTTCGTGGTTTTCCTGTAAGCCACTCAGCCATATTCGGATTTTGATGCCAAGCTTCATTCATGTGCCCAACTGCCAAAATATCACATATATACACTGGTGTCCAAAAATTAAGGACGAGACGGTTTTTTCAATATAACTTTGTACAAAAGCTTTCCAAATCAACACATTTAATACCGCAAGATCCCCAATACGTAAGGACATGAGTAATGTAAGCAACACTTACTAAAAGAGAAATCAGAGGGATAAAAAGAAGCTTTTATTGAAAAAGTAGCATGGAGCGCAATGCGACTGAAGGCCGAAACATCCCTGTGATGGGTGTCCAGCAAGAAACATCCGGTCTTTAATAGGGGATATGATCTCCCCTGACTGCTAGGCAGGTTTCACAGCGTCTGCCCATGCTGAGAATGAGGGTGTCAATGAGTTGTTGAGGCATTGCTGCCCATTCGTCTTGCAGCGCCAATCGAAGCTCCGGAATCGTTACTGGTGGTAAGGTACGAGCTCCCAAGCGTCTGCCTACAAAATCCCATACATGCTCGATGGGATTGAGATCTGGAGATCGTGCCGGCCAATCCATACGTTCAATATCCTCACCTTCTAAGAGCTGTTCGGCAGCTACTGTGCGATGACATGGTGCATTGTCGTCCATGAAAAGGAACTGCGGACCCATAGCGCCTCTAAAAAGACGCACATATGGAAGAAGAATCTCATTACAGTAACGGGTCCCGTTGACTGAACCTGCGTCGAAGATGTGAAGGTCTGTACGACTACCAAGCATGATGCCTCCCCAAACGAGAACACCGCCACCTCCATACCTGTCCCTTTCAATGATGTTCGAGGGATGATTGCGGCTTCCCCGCTCTCTCCAGATGAGTATGCGATGAGAATCGCTACTCAGACTGAATCTGCTCTCATCTGTAAAGAGACTCGTCCCCATTCATTGTCTCTCCAATTCCGGTGTTCCCGGCACCACAGAGAACGCCTTCTCCGATGGGCAGACGTTAGAGGTACACACCGTACAAGGCGTCGTGCAAACAGACCACCACCGTGCAGTCTTCTGGCCACGGTAAAACTCGATATCGGTCGTCCAGTCGCCTGTGTCGTGTGTCTAGCGATTTCTTCCGCTGTCTGCCGCCTGTTCTTCTGGCCTGTAAGGCAATATACCGGTCATCTGCGGGCGTGGTTCCTCGTGGACGACCACTACTAAACCCCCGGTTCCTGTAGTTTGAAATTGTCTCCAAAGTCGTGAAACGATGCTGTGAGCAATTCCGAACTCTGCAGCCACACTTGTCACACTGCGGCCTTCCTCCAACTTCCCAATGATTCGACCTCGGGTAAAAGCACCAAGATGTCGTCTAACAGATTGATTATTCGCCATTTCTCGCTGAGGCAGCAGCCCGGTGTGATTTTAACTGCTATACGGCGTGCAATCTCTTTGCCAGAAATACTGATCTTACACCGACAACATGCTTTATACTACTCAGACACTCCCCCATTACGTCTACCTGCATATCTGCGCATGTGCTACCGTACATCACCTTACTTAATCTCCTGATTGGTCTTTCTGTCCGTTCTGCCTCTTCGTTCAGCTGATATGCTAATTTTTCGACTTCGTCCTTAATTTTTGCAGACCAGTGTATATATATATATATTGTTTTTGTTGTCATCAACACTTCTTACAGTAACATGTGGCAGAAACAAATATATGATACTATTTTTGATTTCGAAAGCATACAGAAATGTTACATTTTAACACTTCGCAAATATGTGGCTGAATAAAATTTAAAGTTTTGGAAAGCTAAATTTAGAATTCGAAGACTTCTAACTGTGCAAGGATCTTAAGTTTTACTAACGTTTATTTTATTTTAAATCTTTACTATCATTTCTTATTTTCTACTTCCGGCCAGAATTAAAAGCGTTAACTTATTTATGCAAAATTTGTCTGGCGAACGCCAAGTACTTAAGTTGTGGCTTTTTGCCAAGCGAGAGAGAGGAAGGAGTTAGTCGAAGCAGGCCGCTTACCTTAGAAGTTTTACTCAGTTGGTAGTTGCCTTCCAGGCCAGAGGTTTAATCCTCGTGATAATTTTAAACGTATTGTAGTGTTAACAGTTCTCTGTACTACATACGGCTTCCTGTTAATATAAGGCCAATCTTCCACGTTTATTATTCCAAATTTAAGTTAGAGTTTAGTTATATTTTTATATTCTTACGTTCAGACCACAAGTAGTTGGTCTCTGTATTTCGAAGTACGGAAATTATTGTAAAGAGTGAAAAAGTGGTTTTGTATACCCTTCCTGTGTATCCTGTCTACTTCCCACATTTATTGAACATAGCTTTAGTAAGCTCCCTGTTCCGAGTCAGGTCCTTGCATGTTCCCAAAGAAAGTAAGGCGGAACATAGAACCTGATAACTGAATATTAGAAGAATAAGACTAAATACACTCCATTAAATATTAATAACTGGTAGAAAACCACAGTTAAATACCATCCAAAATTAAATTTTAGCTTCGATTTACAAAAGCTAAACACATGCGATTTATAAATCTGAGAGCTTTCAGAAAAGATTCGAGGCTTGGTAAAAAATGTTTTTTTTTCCTAGTATGTCTGTCAAACTTCAAAACCGAACATCTTAACGATATTTCGCCTTTCAGGAAATGTTTGTTCCTAAAATATTTTCTTTATATTAATATTTCCTAGGGAAAAGGAAACATTTCCTCTTGAACAAGTATCAAGTAAAAGAAAAGTACATCCATCACTAAGCAGTCAGAAGACTAATAACATTTATAAAGTTTAAAAATATATAATTATTATTCTTTTATGAAAAAGGTCAACATAAAAGAAAGGAAATTCCTCTGCTATCAAAAACTTAGAGGTCATTAAGGAAAACAAATAAATCACTGAATATTTTGAGGAAAATGAGCATCGAAGCCTTCCCCAAAATCGCATGTTTAATTAAAATTTTCAGATAAGCAGATAAACACTACTTTCCTGAACGAATAAGTTAACAATTTTGGAAATACATTATAAACGCGGAGCACGTTCAATGGAATTTCTGGCAGCAAATATTTATACTGTTTCGATTAAAAAAATTTTTAGATCATAATTAAAAAGAATATTTTTAAAAAACAACATTCTGTCTCATATTTCCTATCCGCTGCTAATTTTTTTCAGTAAATTTCATACATTTTGACGGAATGATTTGTAAAATGTGCGTAAGAAGATTAAACCACTTTACAGCTTTCAAGTTTCTATGACGTTTTCAATATTTATTTCTTTGAGCTTCTCAACGTTTCAATCAAAGGTGAATGTTTCTTGCTTTCGTCGGTAAAGACGCTAGCGCATTACACTAATATTCTCAACGTTTTATGATCAAATGTTTGTCGTTTTTCCTGTGGCGCATGAGAAAAAAGTAGCAATTCTTGATCATCAGTTATCAAAAATTAGTATTATTAACGGCCATTGCAAACAAAATTTTATTACGTCTTGTTGTTGTCTTTGAACTCCCACTATAGATATAGATTCCGTTTAAATCAACAAGAAATTATACATATTTAAAATTCTTTCCATTAGTGGATGGTACTTTAAAGAAACATAAACTCATATATGATGTTAAATCTTTTAAAAATATGTTAATTTTGAGGAAAGTGAATACAGGAATAATCTTCAGCTTAATGAACTTACTTTGTATTTAACAGGTCATTACTTCGAAAAAGAATCGCAGTTTAATATCTTCCTAGAAGAACATTTTCCATCAATGAACATTTCCTGTGCGCAAAAAAGAATAAAAATACATTAATGGCCCAGTGACACCACTATTAAAGTTGTTAAATCAGTAATGGCTAGAATATATCATGAGCTCGCGTATTATAATGTCATTTAAAATGCGTTGCCGCTGTAGGTTTCATTTTTCAATCAATACGTCATTATCATATATTTATCGCAAATCTTTTCCACTCATGTTTTATCGATTGAAATTGACAAAAATCTTGGATGTAGCTTCACGATTGTAACTAGATTTTTTTTCTTGTAAAAAAAAAAAAAAAAAAAAAAAAAAAAAAATTCTTTTTTTTGGGGGGGGGGGAATTTATATTTTTATTCTAATTTGTTCAAAATGCAGACTTTCGAAAACTAATGGTGGCTTTTTAAGCACGGAGAGCGCTTAACAAATTTTGCTTCCGTAGATCATTCACAGTGCAGAATAATGGTACAATGTGGACTGATTTGTTGTTTTCCAGAAAGCTTGTATACGTCATTATCAAGTACCTTTCGCGAATCATATATCTCTTATTTTAATAGGAATGGAGCCTCACCATATTTTGTAATGCTTAAAACTTTGCAGTTGCAGAACCTTCCGCATTGCAGAACAAATCTGTGGAATATCGCACTGCATTTTTCCGAAAGGGGGGGCGGATCATATGAACTTATTAGACCGCAGAGATTCAGACTCTAGTCTATTTTTCCTTAAATTTAATTTAGTAATCATGAGTATTAATTCGTCCCATCTGTTTTGAGGCGCAGTTCAAGGTACATGATTTGTTCTTGATGAAGGACGTATAGAAATAACGTAAAGCATCTATGTTACCTGTTAAATTCAGTGAAACCATTTCAGAGCGCATTACCCAACTTTTGTGGTCATAAAAAAAATGCAACAAATATTATTTTTCAGTTACCTTAATATAGAAGAAGTCTTTAGCTTATTACTGGCAGAATTTTATCTAATTATTTCTTTATTTTATTAATATTTATTTCATGTTTTAGAAATGTATGTCTAACGTCGCTTTAAATGTCTGACGTTAAGATAAGCTTTCGTGAATCCATGTCTACAAATACAGTATTAAAAAGAATATTTATTTTAAAACCCATGCTCTCCGGATTTTTTTCCTTCAAACAGCTGAAACTCAAACTTGAACAATGGCAAATACATCTAAATCGGGCGGGGACTCAAAACCTTTCTATACCCTTTACAAAGATATAAAATTGTTTGAGAAACTTATCTTCACATTTTTCTTGCATTCAAGATAGTTTCGTTCATTCCAAGCTGTTAGGATCAATCATTCGTTCATTTTTTTCTTCTGTCTAAGTAGTGCTCAACATATCTCAGCTTTAGTATTTACGGGATGTAACGTCATCTATAATTTTATCGATATCTGTTCTTCTACACTTCTTGAAAACCTAAGCAAAAATATTTCTGTCTGTCACGTTTACGGAATTTCTTAACTTCCTTTCGAATTTCTTTCTAATCTCAAGCGAAGAACGTTTTCCCTCTAATTTTTTCCTGTTTTTGAATAGATTGAAAGAAGACGAATTTCGTCTTGTTCATTTGTTTGCAGTTTAAAAACACTTTTCTTCTATTCGTTTCTTATACTACTTCTCAATGTTCTAGTTTTATTTTAGAAAACTCCAAAGTATTTTTTATTTTTCGATTAATCCATTTTGATAGCTTTTTATAATTTATGTATTTTATATCTGAGTAAGATCATTCTTACTGGTTATGTATAAAAGTTTTCCCATGTTTTTAGAGGCAGTTGCAATTTTATCATATAATAAATGCGTCATAGTATTAAAAGTAATTTCGTAAAAGATTTTATTCTTAGATGTGCAAAGATACGCATAGTTCCGGCATGCATTAGTCCATTCTATGAAGAATAAAAGGAAGTCAGCTTCTAATGTATTTTAAAACCAATGCTTACAGGGAAAAAAGTCTGCAAATTCTGAGCTTCGCCTAGCAATCGAACCTAAGAACTCGTCGACTTCTCGAACGTCGCTGAATTACTGTTACTGAAACCATAGTTAGTTTGTGTGTTTAATGCGAATAGAGACCCCGTTAATTCTGTTATGTGGGGTCGTCTTCTGTTATATGAGTCTGTCTTTTATTTGGCTGTCTTTAAACTGTCTCTGTGTTTTTAATACTTTTTAAATCTTATGATATTTAATTGTTCAGAATATCTTGTTATTTCTCTCAATTGGGAATTTTTTTTTTTTTTTTTTTTTAAGTCCAAATGGGATTTGTCCCTGAAGGACTATTGTTTTCGTTTTGTGATTTTACGTTGAATCACTCTAAATGTCCGTTTCACTTTTCAAACTGTTGCCACCAAATACTATCGCCCTCTATTATATTTGAAGAAATTAATTAATGAAGAATCTGCATTAATGTATGTATGTTTCTTGCATCTTGCATTGTGATAAAACAACGGTACCTACAGCCATCGAATTTTGAATGACGTAATCCTCTGCGAATATGAGCATCTGGAAGCCCAATTTGAAATTTGTTTTATTATCGGTTTCATATTTTGTAAAACTTAAACGAACTTTTGATTGACAAACTCAAAGATTTAAAAGCGAGCAATGGCAAAACTCTACGAGAGTTAAAAAAAATATATATATGTTTTAAGTGCAAAGAGCATCATAGTAAATAAATAAAGGTAACACTCAAAACGTCACAAAAACACCTCTTTTGACATAATCTAAAATCTGAAACTTTTCATATTTTTTTTAATTTTTCTGATTTTAAACGAAATAAGATTTTAATTAATAATAAAGTTTCTGTTTAGCTAAAAAAACAGGAGACTATTACAAAGATTTTGTTACATTCTTTGAACCATGCTATGACTAGCAGGTGAACGGCTTCAATAGCAAATAACTAATCAGTTCTTTGCTACTTTTGATGATCCTGAAAATGGTTATTACAATGAATAATAAACACGTAATATTATGTTAGTAAGATATTTAATCATTTGATAATTTTCTTAATTAGCCAGAAAGTTTTCTCAACCCGAACAAAAAGACTAATACCAATTAAAAATCGTGTTTTATCAGAATAAGGCCAGACAGCATATTTTGAGAAACAGTTTGCCCCAAATCTGAGCATAGCTTATTCTTTTCGCTCGTAGAAATCACTTTGCCCATCGGGTCTTCAAATCATAAAAGTGAAGCAACAACCTGTGTCGGGCGGATATTTTTAGCGTAGAAACTCTGTCGATTTCGAGAGCGAACAAAGTCTCTCTTCATCAGGATCAAAGAAATCTGCATATTGGTTTTGGCAAATTTCTTTGCTCCTGATGAAGAGGGACTTTATTGGCCCTCGAAACTGATACACTTTCTATGCTAAGAATCTACGCCTAACGCAGGTTGTTGCTTCACTTTTATGATTTACTTCAGGCGTGTTTCTCTTTTGTCTGGGTCTTCAAATATTGCGTATCTTTGCAAGTCGAAGAGAAAGTTTTGGAGAACGGAAGGAACAAAAGACAAAGCGAAAAGTAATTTGTAAGACAAAAATATTTTGTTATTGAATATAAAGTAAAACCATTCAACTAGATTTGATAATTTATATTTGATAAACGAAACATTTACAATCTTACCAGATGTGGCGAAACCTAATAATGTGGCTTCGAGAGGCAGAAACACGTTCTGCATTATAATCCGAAATCCTCGGCTTCAGTACTCTTTAACTGATTTGCATTTCTGGTGAGGCAACGAAAAAGGGAAGTTATGGTAAAAGTCTAAATCGTAATAACTGGTTAATTAAAATAATAATAACTCTACAAACTAATAAACTGAAAAAGATCGTATTTTTGTGTGGGGGGGGAGGTGACTGAAACCTATTAATTTGCGATAAATGCATCTAAAATCTGGTTTCGTTCTAGAATCGCAAATTAAGAATATTTTTGACTTAAAAATATTGAATGACTGCAACTGACTCATCATATAATGGCAATCATGCCAAATTAATTTAACTGTTAATTGAATAATTAAATTAACAGGTGCAGTCACTCTATATTTCCAATCGAAAAAATTCTAAAATTTGCCTTTGAAAGGTAAATGAATCAGGCTGCGGTGACTGACATCTTTCAACTTAAACCTTCCGGAAAAATAATTAAAAATTGGTAAACAGGTAATTATTTGTATTAGGAATTGTTTGAAATCTAATCCCAGAAAAAAATTTTCAGTAGTCTTTGAAATATTGCATCGTAAAGATTTTAATAGCCTAGAGAACATATTATTGGAAAATGGTGATAAAAATTGTCCACAAGAATCAAATTCTTTCTGTGAAAATATTCTATGATATTCAGACGCAGCAAAGGCAGCTCAGAACAAATAAGAACTATTGTTGCTAAAAAATAAAATTTTATTGTAACGAAATCTATTCAACGTTTTCTTTTATTTATTACATGTTTTAGAATATTTTTTTTAATTTGGATTTACTAAAATTATTGACGGCGACTGCAACTGACTGCCTCCTAAAATCGAACAAATATGGTTACTTCAAATATAAAAACACTTGTAGAGCGATTAGGTTTTTTTGAAGCTGGAGACGTGAAAAATGAGCAATGCCGTCGCCAAGACTCGAACCTGGACCTCTCGAAAACGTGCCGACTGTGCTAACCATTACACCACGAAGGCATGCAGAATGAAGGGAGAAACCCCTTTCGAAAGGGCTACTGGAGATTATGAACCCAATCGCCCAAATCCTGGTCGTGAAGAATGATTATTTCATCACCTTTTAATTCGGGCGCCACTGTAGAGACATCAGGATTTTTGAAATCAGGAAAGGTGAAAAATGTGCAGTGTTTTCGCCGGGACTCGAACCTGGACCTCTCGAATATGCTAATCATTACACCGCGAAAGCATGCAGAAAGCAGGGAGAAAATATCTTATGCACTAGCTTTTTTATTTCAAATTTTTCCTGCACGTTTTCTTCAATTTTTACTCATGTAGTCATTTAAAATTTTATCTGAAAATAACCTAAATATATTTTTTTAATCCTAAGCGCGTTCTCTCGTGTTGCACCAAAAATGCAGCAAAACGCTATCGCACTTTTTTGTTGCACCAAAAATGCGTAGAAGCGCGATTGCGCATCTGTTTGTTACTATTGTTTCCGGATTGATTGAGAACGGTTATATTCATATCAACTGCTGGTTTGTCAAAACTAAATCGATCTAAATAAGTAGTTTGCGATTTTGTTGGTAAAAATTACCTTTTATATAATAATTAGAGTTAATTGCAACCGTTTCTTTTATTTTCGGAAAAAAAAAAAAAAAAAAACTACTTGTTTATTCCGCACTTTTGGCATATATACAAGAAAATTATTTAGCACTCAAAGAATTAATTTTCTAACATGAAATTTAATACGCAGCTGACAAATTTTGTTACAAATTTTGTTACATGTTATTATTTTTAATTACTTTAAACTTCGGATGTGTGTATATATTACGTCAAATGATGTTTTAATGCCTATTAAATGGTACACCATCCTAATTTTAACGAAAATTTCTCACGGGAATTAAATAACGAGAATTTTCTTAGGAAACTGCTTTATTGAAGTAATTTCTCATTCGCAAGTCCCCTCACAATTCAACGCACTTGCGGCAGAGTTTCTTCCAATCTAAAAGCAAATGGGAAAATCGTTGATAATTTATACTGTGAGAAACTATCGTCGTATTCCTTTTGATCATCAAAGCGATGTCTTTTCATTGCAGATTTTAATTTTTGAAAAAGACCATATATTGTGCACTATGAGGGATCTGAACTGTATGCCTGATAGGGAAATGCAGGAATTTTTCGTCCAGTTATTCCGTTAACAAGAAGTGCTAAATGAATTGCTCGTCATCACGTAGTAAATTTCATTGATTAATGACAGACTATCGATACTAATGACTAATGATAATATTTCATTGACTAATGACGTCAACTCTTTAGCATCAAATAATTCACATTTAACCATAAGACTCATATAATTTGAACTTTGACTAATTAAGTAACCTGGTGCTACCTTACATTACAGGACTGGAAATAAAAGCAATAATAGGTTTTGAACATCAGTAAATTTTGAAAACAGTTTATTGTCATTTTTAAATCTCACTCTTTGCATTATCATTTCTCCTAAAATAACGCATTGTGGCTTACAAAAAGCAATATTAATAATGAGATGAAATATAATATATTATTTCATACAACAAAATACTTCAAGCTGTGCCACTTTTCTTTCTCAGAACTTTGAGGGCCAGTATAGAATAAAATATGCATAAAAGCTTACAAATCACTTGGTATCTGTTGTAACACAAAAGAAATAAAAGATTTACAAGACATGTACGTAGTCTCTGATATTTTAAAACAAAATGCTTTTACTCGATTTCCTTTTATTTTTAGATGATCTAAAACACTGGACCAACCATTAAATAAATGACAAAAAGCTCACATACACTTTATGGGCTTTCTGCAGTTTTCTTCCTAGGAGAAAAATACAGAAAGCTTGCTTCCGATTCATTGAAATTTTAATGTTAACTAGTTCCTTCCTGTGTACTAAATGTAATTTCTCTTAATAGATAGGTTTCCGGGATCTGCCCAGAATTGTCTAACTATTCGAAGTAATCATATAAAAATTGTGTTGTTTTTAATTAAGTAAATAAAAACAAAATTTCTTGTATTTTGTCCAAAGGCAGAAATGAACGATAAGCTTTTATTATGAGCTTAGCTTATCATTTATCAACGACTCCGTTTGAAATATGTAATATACTTCATAAACATGTAATAAATATATGTTAATTACACTTCAGGGTGGGAAAAAGAAATGTGTTATTGCTGCAGTCAAACTTGAAATCTTATATGAAGAAATGTGTAAAAGGAATAAATTAAAATTAAATGCATATACTACGGTAAGCACGCAATTATCACATTACCTCGTGCATGTGTTCGAGATGTAAGCGGATAGCATGGGAAACTGACAGTTGAAAGATCCGTAGCTTTTCATGTTTCCTGAAATGAAATGTCTAATTATGTCTACAACGTTACAACAATAAAAAACAATATTAACCTATACATGGAAACTGCCTTAATTATACTTTCACTTCACTTTTAATACAGAAGACAGAAAGTCATCAATGGAGCAGCGGCACCATCATTACACCTGTCGGCAATAGATAGTAGTCAGTGGATATCATCTACTATCTGTTACACCAAGCCAAGGTCAGCAGGCATTTATTGAGAATTTTTTACATAAGTTTTTACATGAATAATGATTTACAATTTTACATTATAGGATGTGTTCAAAGAAAGCATATATACAATTATAACAGTAATATAATTTTGAGATGTGTACAGATGCTGTTGAAAAATTATATAGATAAATGTAGTTAAAAATGTAAGAATATAGATATAAAAAATTTAATATATAAAACTAAATAAACCAATGAAATCAGGATGAAATTTAGAATTTTAACAAATATTGCCTAGAATTAATTATAAATAGTCAGCAAAGTTTTTATACATTCATAGAGAATTAGAAAAAGTCTAAATATATATAATAATGAAACAAAGTGTCTTTAGTTCTTTAAAAGGAAGTCCAAGAGGTTATAATTTCATATTAAGTTCATACGAGCGAAATTCGACGTATAAATGTGAATTTGAAGGTAAGTCTATACGAAATAGCATGAATAGTTCGTTATGTCCTTAAGAATAGGATTAAAAGTTTGTAAATCCTAGTGGCCAAAATATGTAGAAATCATAAAAATTTTAAATGTAAAGGATCAGAAATTTTCAAGATCCTTTAAGGATATTTTCATAGTCCTTGATGAATGTTGTTCCATGGAGATGATGATCATGTAGGAGATATTCGATCGTAGAGAAAGGTACAAGTATAAAAGGTTGTAGGAAATAGAACATATTAGCATAAGAAGGCATTCCATAAGGATTGATTGAGAATAACGAAGATGTGTTTAAATGACAGTAACGTTTTCAAATTTATTAGAATTTACCTGATAGCTTGCAGTATCTCCTTTTGTGAAGGTTGACCATTCTTTAGAATAAATTTCCCTTGGGAGCAAGGCTTTCCTTTAGAATTTATGAAAGAGAAATCATGAAGGCATAATTAAGAGGAAATAAGATTTTCACAATTGGTTGAAAGATAGTTTGTAAGTGATTGCAGTTTATATAGTAAGATATTGCTTTTAAGTAGTTTTATCCAAAGGTGAGTTGACAGGTTGATATACGGTCTTGTATGAAATTCTTACGTAATTCGACAGTTAAATAAGTAATGGTCTATTGTGCCCATTTGTCAGCAAATACAAAGATTTGAATAGGGGATTCCGAATCTGTGGACGTAGTCGAGGAAATATAATAGGTAAGTAGTCGATCTGTTATTTGAAATTAGTATTCTAGATGGAGCTGGAAAAAACATGTATTTTCTTCGTCTAGTTGTATCAATAGTTCATTGCTGCTACCATATTTTAAAAAGATTTTCTTCTAAAATATTTTTAAGGTGAGAAAGTGGAATAGGAAATTGGCATTGAAATAATGAAGATTTGTTTGATGGCAGCTTCTTTGGCTAAAAGATCTGCTGTCTCATTTCCATAGATAACTTTTAGAGAGACTTTTAGTCCATTTCAGTTTTCGAATTAATTTCTGAAGAAATTGTGATAACAGATAGCGTATTTCTTTGATTATACTCACTTTTAATACATCGAAACCCTGGTTTCTGAACTTAATTCGTTCCTGAATTGGCTAGTCACCTATCAAAGTGTTTGTAAACCGAGATAATTTCCGCCGCAGGAATTAATGTAAAATAGATTAATTCATTCCTGGACCACGAAACTTATTAAAACTTTGTAAAAATACTTTTTGCACATTAAATATAAAAAAAACATTTAGATCAATATAATATGTCAAAAAGTAAACTTACCCTTTTTACTTCGTCGTGGTGGGCGACGTGACAGAACTCTAAAAAATCCAGTCTAAAAATGGGAAGTAATCCAGTCTAAAATGAACTAATCCAGTCTAAGAATGGGAGCTGCATTTAACAACACAACATACTTTATTAGTTGTTACAAAAAGAACTTAAAATAATAGAAGCATATTAATTACAAACACGTAAGTAGCATTTATGACTGCTTCCCCTTCGTTTCAAAACACGTAAGCAGCATTCATGACTGCTTCCTCGTCGTTCTCGTTCTAAGACTCTCTGGTTTTATTTTAGTTCTAAGTTCACTTCAGTTCGTGAGACTGCTCAGCAGCTACAACTAGGATTTCCGGAAGGGGTTTTTCGGTAGCGAAATAAAATCACATGTACGCTTGCCGAGATTCGAGCCGCGTATCTTCCAGTCGCTACCTGGATGCACTAACCATTTACATAGCCAATATGCAAAAGCATCATAGATGCAATTATTCCTAATAAAATATTTCTGCATTTAGACAAATAGACCTTTTACATCTTCTCATAATTAAATAATGCTGTTGCAGAAAATTATACAATTATTTTAATTTATTTTACTACCAGTTTAATTTTCAGGTACTATTATTATGATTATTATTTACGTGTTCCGCCCTAAGGAACTACACAAAAGAGAGGGATGCCTTCAAGGACACCTTTCTAAGGGAAACTGGCTCTATTAATACGTTACTCAAGGGAAAAACCAATAAGAGCAGCCAGCCCGTTCGTGGGACTCGAAACTACCAGAGTTCAGGGACTTTACCGCTCGGCCGCTGGTGGTCCTTAATTTTCAGGTAGCAATCATAAATAAAGCTTGTTAACCAAACCCAGCATTCTAACGTACTATTGGCTACCTGTATAGATCTCACCTTTTCTGTAACGTAAAATGATTCTTATATTGCGCAATATACAGATTCATGTCTCTGTTTTCCTTAACAATACAATACACTTTTTCAGTACACTGACGTTCAAATTAAGAGAACTTTCACATTTGATTGATTTATTTCCGGGAATAAAGGACAGATTTTTAATGAAATTTTGTATGGATATAAGTTGATATTGAAAACAAAAATGCAAAAAACAAATACCATATAATAGTTACGATGCGCGCTGGTTGGAGTTCGAAGATCTAAAGCAGAGGTTGCAAGATCGAATAACACAGGAAGCTAACAGGGGCGGGTATGATCCTCTGTAACAGTTATGCAGCTCTCATAAGTGACTTCAAACTGGAAAAAAGTCAGTTTATAAATAACAATGGCAATCGTTCCCACTGCAACAACGGTGTTTTCAAGACCCGAAGTGTTCTTGGAAAGAGAAGGCGAATTGCAGTTGCCTTCTCAAGAGCCTTCTAGACAGGTTCGGCAGGATTTAGGTCCGGAGATCTGCCTGGCAAATCGCCCACCAGCGGCCGAGCGGTAAAGTCTCTGAACACTCGTAGTTCGGTCCGAGGTTCGAATCCCGCGAACGGGCTGGCTGTATGGGCGTTTTCGTGGATTTCCCCATGTGTAACGTGTATACGAGTCAGTTTCCCTTAGAAAGTCCTCCACGAAGGCATCCCTCCCCTTAGGCAGATAGCCCTAGTGTGCTTTGCCGTAATCTCAATAAACCAAACCAAATCTGCCTGGCTAATCAATCCGCTTAATAGCCTCGCTTTTCATAAAATCATCCACCAGATCAGTCTAATGTGGACGAGTCATCCATAAAATAATCTGAGCGTCAGTTGGATCTCTTAAAGGCCAAACATTAGCAGTGATGAAAAGTAAAGAGTGCCCGCAAAGACATAATTTAATGATTAGCAAACATTTCATGTAACATACATTTTGTTGCTGCTGTATCTTATCTCATATCCGTCATATACAACTGTTTAATATCTATAATCGTAGATGGGGGTCGAATAATTTTTAGACACTGGTGATAAAAGAATGAATTTACACCAGCGTCGCCGCAGTTTTAATCTACAACAGGCTGAGGAATGGAATCCAAGAGATTTAAATTCCTTTTCTCCTACCATCAACATTTCAAAAGAATTTTCTGCTGAACAGATCTTAGGTGCCCATGGCATTATTTATACCGTCAGAAACTTCCATGCCTTCTCTGAATTTGATGCTGACTCAATGATTTAATAACTACCCGGCTCTTGATAATCATATCTTTTGGTGCGGCATATAACATACATTAAATGTATGAATAATGTTTTATTTTCCTACATTTTGTGCATATTATATATTGGATGCTTAATTTGATAACATTATTACTCATAACTCGTGAGAAAAAGCCAAGCTGAGCAACATAATAATCAGGACAATTTGAAAAGTTGCAGTAAGTTAAGCACTTTCATAATATCATCAAAAGGATTACGTTAAAATTACGTTTTAAGCGGGAACATTGATTAACAAAGAACTTGTTAAAAGGAAGGATTTCGCTGGTGCTGTTCCAGGGAAAATATTACGGCAATATTTTTCAGTGCATTCTAATCTCGTTTCCTTTAATCACATTTACTGCGCCACAAATACATTACGAAATTACTTACTTGAAATTCAGCTTTATTCTTTTCTGTCTAATCTTCTTTGCGTTTAGTGTTTACCATCTTTGAGAGTCATATTAATTGAACTGAAATTACAAGTATTTATCAAAAAGTATAAAGACTGCTCTTGAAAGATAAATTAACTAATTGAAACACAAGTGTACACTTAACATTTTCAGAGAAAAGTCTGTCTATGAAGCTTCCGTTAGAACTTTTTCTACCTTAATTTAATCAAGCATAAATGTCGCTTATCGTCGCTTATTTTGCATATTACTGTGGCAGAATAATTTCATCAGACTAAAATGCTGACGAGAAAGGAAATACTACATTTAATTTCTAAGACAAAACACAAGTATAGTTAAGCACGTTCATGTTCCTTCTTTACTATTTTTACACTGTCCTCCTAATTAGTTATCATACTTAGGAAAGACGGATATCATTGCAGTGGGTCGGTTATTCAAATCTTAGGTATGATATAGACATTTGTAACTGAATGAAAGAACGTAAAATTCTTCGGTTTGAAAGTGGAAATGGTATTGCGTATAATGCCACTTAGTTATCAGTTGTACCGAAGATCTATGATTAAAGGCAACCATTTTTTCACGTGATTTGTATGAACATAGAGTACTGTAATAGCAACAACAATTTAGAAACTTCTGGTACTAATGGGTGTTTTGAAAGTAAAACATAATAAAAGAAATCTGATGCAGACTCCACACGACATCCTTGTACGACCTATTAAATTTTACGCATTTTTTACTGCATTTCATTTCAACTTATTTCCTCGAATTTCATTAGAGATGTATTTCTCATGCAATTAATTCAGTTCTCACTTCGCGGCAAGAGAAAAAGGCATAAAACCTCAAAATATCTTCATTAGAAATTTAAAAATATAGAAAAATATATAACACCAAATACAGTTAAAACAATTAAAAACCAATTTTTACAATTAAAATCGGAGTTTCTATGCAAAAACAAGCAACTCGGCCAGCGTGCGAGAAGTTAGATTTTTCGGTGCACAAAACTGAAAATTTAGTTTCGGTCTCACTTGGCAAAAAGACACTGAAGATACAGAAACTGAATTCACTATTCCGCTAAGTTTCAAATGTAAACAAGTATGGCTGCTAAGTTAGGCTTAGCGGCAGTTAAACAAATTTTAAATTAAAGATAATTCTATAACTATTGCATCCAGATTAATTAGAGGTATAAGAACCTTAACCGGAACATAACAATACAATTCAAACATTTTTAAAGCAAAAAATGGACAATTTACCCATATATAGGAATAAAACACTGAGCTAACCGAGTCATGTAACAGATATAATTATATACTTTTGGTGCGGCTGATTCAACCAAAATCGGGGGTGCACAACTACATGTTATAGCACTCCTATATGCAAAATTTCAAAGTTCTGAGGCTACTCTTTTTTTGAGTTATGCGAGATACATACATACGTACGTACGTACAGACGTCACGAAGAAATCCATTTTCCAATCCGTTTTCGGTTTGTTTTATTCTGTCCTTACGTACAGATGTCACGCAAAAACATCCTTAAATTGTATTCGATAGCGGTCAAAATGGATGTTTTCGTTGAGATATGATACCCGAAATTTTTCGCGATTGCAATACTTCCTTTACTTCGTACAAGGAATTAAAAAGGAATAAAAGTAAGGATTTTAACAACTAATGTTAACGCGGATATACTTATAAAGCATAACGCAAATCCTAAAAAAATAGCCAGTAGAACCAGAAGGTGTTTCATGAACGTGTTTTACAAGCAGGGAAAAGGAATCTTTCATCTGAGTGTCTTAACAATCATTTTCATATTAAAACTTAACACATAGCTGATGTTTTTCCGTAAAGCTTGTTAAACAATTTAAATTTAAATTAACTGCTTCTAGGTGAAATTAATTAAATATATTTTCTTTTAACGCTATATTTAAGAAATATATTTATATATAATTTTAAAGTTACGCTGCACATACAAGACTGATATGGTTTAAAAAACAGAGCATATAAACAAAATTTGAGCAACGTAAAAATTATTTCCTGTTACTCAATGCCAGCTATGTCTATCCTTTAAATGCAAAGAAATTTGATTCTTCTATCGCGATAGTAATTTTGTTAAATGCATAAGAGTTCTGCGAAAGGCAACGAATTCAAAATCTCTATAACTTTATATCCTCTGACTTAACTGGTACTTAAATAACTTTGATTCAAATATTTTACGACATATTTCCGTAAGCAAAGAGATGCAAATCCTGGGAGTTTCCGAGACGGCTTATTCCATCCTACAGAAGGCGAGAGCTTAATGCATTCCTTTTGATGCAGCGAAGAGAAAATTCTCTTTAACTTCGCGAAATGCTTCTGGGCACTCAGAACCAGTTATGGATTCTAAACTTTGACCTTCTACTAAAAATATTTTTGACAGCCTTATAGAATTTCAGTGGTTACATAGTATGTGTATGTTACGGTGAAACACCGAAATCTGGAGAATGTCGACTTTCACCGGTGAATATCAACATTCACATAGTCGCTTGGTGTATGTCCGAAATATTTTCCAAATCCTCTTATTTCTGACTTACACTGGTATATGTTGGCAATCTCCATGTACTAATGGTGAATGTTGAACATATAAGAATATTATATTTTCTTCTCTGTAATTCAGTCGCGAAAAAACGCACTTAAAATAA